TTTGCTAGGTACCGTAAGATCTCAAATGATTTCTGGAATTTCCTCGAATATTAAACTAATGCGATTCGAACACTAAGACTAGAATTAATAAATTATGCAAATCTCTTACAATCTGAGTGATACGAGTACGTTAATGGTTACTTATAAGCTTAATGTGACGTCTTTATCGGAAGCCGGGTATTAGCTTTTATTATATCGGTATTATTGTGACTAATGACCCGTCGTGGCTTCGCTCGCTTAGTGCAAGCCTCTGTCGCCCACTTGCCCCCGATTAAGTGACCGACCGACCAGCGTACATTTTTGGTGGACTATGAGTCGCTATGGAGAGATGTTTTAGAGTTAATATAGTTGTTAATTATATTATTGATTGACGGGTTCGTTGGTCTAATGATAAAAATATATGGCAATTAATAAACGGATCGTGGGTGCGATCCCTACTCGGTCCACCATGTCTCTAATGATTTTGTCTGTAACAAAGACAGACAAAGTGTAACACATGTTACACTTTGTCTGGAAATCTAAATATGAAAAAGGTGGCAAGAATATCAAAAATTTTATCCCGGTCACGAAGCACCGTCCACCGACGAAAAAGCAGTGAAGTTTAATCACTTTTCGATTTCAGTCTGCGGATTTCCGAATAATAAGAAAAAGAAGACAAAACAATTCTACAGTTGTCAAGACGCTATAAGTATGTCTGGGGTATTTTACCATCTATCAAGTGAATCATAAAAAAATATAGTATCATACACGCTATTATTATTGTTTCCTTTATATAGAGGTGTACGGAATATACACTTCTAGGAGTGTTTGGTTGCCGTCTGCCAGTTCGATATGAAGTGGGCTTTTCTAGAGGGAAGGATCACTACTACACAACGATCCCGGGCTTTAATCCTCAAATCCCAACCGTCTGAAAATCAACGGAACACACAGAATGGATCCGACTGTCATTTATCCTGATATGATGTTTAAGTTAATAATTTAACTCAAATACTGTCTGTAGTTTACGCGAGTAGTACCTACACATCTATATAAAACAATAAAACAGGTTTGCAGTCTAGACGTGACCATGGTTGCTGCAAAGCATCCGAAACGCCGAGCCGTAGTTAAAATCACTTTTAAACAAGCTTAAGCAATATTTCGCGTTTTAAACCGTTTACAAGTGTATTATTTGAACCACTTAAGTCAATTATTAAAAACAAACAAATGTATGCTATGTAAGCTACAACTCTACCTTTCAGATGCTTCGCACGACCTGTTGCAAAGCAGGAACCGTGTATCGTAAACACTGGACAATGCTTGATACGCACGCTCCGCAAAACGCCCGCAAACTCCCTGTCAATATGTAATCTGTATGATCTCATAACGGTCTTAAGATAGGGAATAGGGAGCGTGTTTAACCGAGACTAATTCAAAGTAAATATACTCGCGTGTAGTTTAACACGGATGTGCTATAACAATCTTCTGAGTCAATATTGAAACGATATTGGGTTATTCATTACACCTTAAGCCGTAAAGTTCTCCCTGTAATTTGAAGTAAATTAATAGCGTTGTTATAAAATATTAATAAAAAAGCAAGAATTTTATTTTACACGAAAACGTATGTTGTAAAAATCAAAGTTGGGTTCGCGGCCATGTTTGCTATACTGAGATAAATAGATACTGTGCATTCAATTGTTATCCAGGGCGGGTACTCGTATTATTATTGTTTAGATTTCAAAATTCAGATCAACACAATTACTCGCTAGTAGGATTTTCCCGTAACATCACGTCGTAACAACGGTAATTCGATATTTCCCTCGTCAATATCTGCGCGCCGATAACACGTCACTTCGTGTTATCATTGACACACTTACCGATATTACATACTGAGCCTTATTATTGTCTAGAGGTGGATTGAATTCTTCGAGCTTAGGAAAAAGCCGTCGTCTACATTTCCAATTCCAAGAACGAAAAGGTCATAAGGTATTTGTTTGTTTGTACAAATAGATATTCACATTTTCATTAATTCTGAAAATTGTAATTTTTGTATGATAGGAGACAAGACTGTTCACTTGAAGATAGGTGAAATACTTCAGCTATATAACATGTAATCAAGATGCTCTGTCGACATAAGTTGGCCTGGGAAATTCATAGACTAAAACCGAAACGGGAATAAGCTTGACGGATCCCGTGGCTATCGTACACACGACCAATTGGTAGCATTACATTGCAACCATTGAGGCACCGACGAGTCCGTCATATATGTAATATAGCCCGTGTATATTAGTTACACGTGGGATTTCCAGCAAAACCTTGCAAGTCAGTAGATAATACGAGCACACGATTGTCTAGGTCGTCATACAGCGGAACGCAAAACAAAAATAACCGCACTCAGCGCATTGAGGCTGAGCACCTAGACGGGTATAGCTGGCTGCAATCTCATCCCACGAATAAGCGATTCGAACAATAGCTCGTACAAATGACAGATAGGTTATTTATTCAGCTATCCCCGTAGATCCGTGGATATAGTGGCAATCACTTAGTCGTGTTCCACAGAGGAAAGCACGGGCCGAGTTGGACGTTTTACCGTTATGTATAGAATATTAATGCCTAAGTTAAGATCGAGACTTAAATAATAAAATATTTAGGAGCTACTTTATCATTATTTGTGGGGTTTATTTACCCACACAACAGTCATACAAACCAATTTGCAAAGTTAGCAGTTATGAGATTGATCGAGTTCGGTGTTTCATATTCTTGAGATTGGCTAAAAATTAAATATATAAGTGAAGACACGACCTTGAATTTGTCCACAATGCTTCAACGTTATAGTTTCACAACTGACATACAAGTACGTAAACTGTGCGACCCCGAGGGACGTTCGATACAACGTGAATAGATTGTAACAGTGGGTACACCGGGGAAATTGTCGGTCGGTAATGAGGGTAGGCGGTAAAACGAGTTGACGATCGACGTCGAGAGGTTACCTAAACTGTTGTGGGACTTTCACTAGGTTTCGTAACCCTTGAACTTCGACAGGTAAATAATTGAGAAAGCCTCAATTTCACCCGATAAATTTAATTAAGAGCAATTAGTTGATATTGAGTATTAATAAAAATAAAATAAGACTACTTATTTTATTTGGCTTAAATATATTGTAACGAATAAACTGTGTAAGGCTTTCACGGCCATCGTTCATTATTTTTCGGGCTGTTCTTCGAAGAATTCTTCGAGGAGTTAACATCACGAAACGTCGAGATTATCTCGCTTACCTTGGCCGAACAGCCCGAAAAACATTGATATGCTGATATTACGACTTCTTTTAAAACTTTCCTTCGGTGTGTCATGAAAATATCAAAGTTATTGAACCTGTTAAGGTTTTATATCGTATTCACTCAACATCTTGATTAGATCGGGCGGTATTCAGCTCAGCATTGAATAATACACTAGCAATCATAGAATTCGGTGGATTCAGACGAAACTATGTACCTCGCCAAATTATCAATATCGTGCGATAAGGTACAATTGATATTTGAATAATTTACCTCTATTCAATAAGCTAAATTTTGGAAGGCTAGAAGATTATCTAGAGCGCCGTCTTACTGACAAGACCGGTTTATTTACCTAAAAACCACATAAGATATTTTGATCCAAGATTAGCTCTCGCGACAATTTCCTTTAAATAAAGTTGTTTAAAAATAAAAAGGTATTGGCTTTTTGTAAATTTTAAATAACAAGAGTCTATAGAGTTATATATTGTCTACATTACGTTGTTGTATTGGCAGGTACAGTATCGTTAAGACATTTAGCATATGTGCCATGAGCAGTCTCTCGCACTCTATATGTTCCTTCAAAATATAGTACCAATTTGTAATACAGGGCCCCGCGCAGACGTTTGTGGTCATATTGAAATCGGTCTCGAAATAGGTTATTGAGCCCTTTCTAACCCCAGCATATCGCAGTGGATAACATACATCACTCGGTTGTATTTATATAATTATAAAATATATGAATTTAATGAATAGTAGGGGTAACACGTATCTTATATCATATACTTAATTCTATAGAAGGGTATACCATTAGATCGATAGCTAGGTATTTATAATATTCTATTTCTAACATAAGTTACTCAGGCCTTAGTTATAGTTTATTTAATTTTCCTTTTAATCCAAACAATATGAAACGATGGTCAAAACTGCAATAGTTGGCGCGCAATGTATACGAAATTGGAGATATACCCCTTCCGTTCCCGGAATTTAGATAGTAGATGTCGGGTTTAAGCCGCCGCAAATGATCCAAAGGCACACTCCGGTGGTGTATTGATTGCAGATTATGCTGTTAGCTCGGTATTAGCGCTCTATAAATTGGTAACGGGTTGCATCGATACCGGATCGGACCTCAACAACGCCAACGCTTTGACGTTCACGAACAAGACGAATAAAGAGAGCTATTATGAATTCACGGAAAAATGGGAAAATAAAAAACCTAGTTCATATTTTTCTGAAGGGTTGATCTGACTTGACTGATAATATATATAACAGATTGGAAATCTCTATTCGAAGTAACTGGACTAATTTTAACTATACGATCGAGCCGTTGGCATGGACCATGAAACTTTAATGTCTATGTATAAACTATAATCCTAATGTTGCTAAAAGCGCACTTCATAATATATAACTCGGCCGCGCACACACATAAATGCATATTATAATATTCCTTTGAGTTAAGAGCTGGAGCACTACCACGATTTAAATAGAATAAGCAAGTCTACAAATAACGAGTAATATTTAAATCTCTGAAGAATGACTAAGAGCAATGGAAGAAAAATAAAAATCTCCTTTGGGTAGTTCTTATGAGGATGAAAGCTTACTTGAAAAAGTATTACTATATAGTGAAACAAAAACCTTGGTGTATTTAGAGATATCTATATACTTAGATTATGCAAAATAAAGGGAAAAGAAGCTTTAACACAAATATAAAAAAAAAACAAAACAAAGAAACCAAAATTACATGCGGGGGGATCACTTATTGCGGTGGTTACGCTTGGGTCTTGCCCGGGGCTCATTAGGAGTCACAGCCTGTCTTGTGACTTCGGTAGGAGTGAAGACAGGAAAACTTTTTCCAGGAATGGCGTCCAGATCACCAACTGTGAATACCTTGTGACGATTGCCGGTGGAATCCAAGACATACACACAGCCATCTCTAGTCCAGCACTGATTTATCCCGAACTTTTTGCGGGCAGCCATAAAGGTATCATGGCGCGGCTTAGTGAGGAACTCAGACAGTGTCAGACCAGTATTCTTTCTTGTCGTGCCATATCTTAGATTTCATTAAGTGGTCCCGGAACTTTATTAAAATCACTCTGGGTTTCTCAGACTTAGCTTGGCCCATTCGGTAACATTTAGAGAAAGAGTCAGGGGTCAATGTAGTAACGGAGAGGTGCTTCGCTAGTGTTGTAGCAACAAGCGATGCAGTGTTCTCGTTTTTAGACTCAGGTACCCCATGTATAAGGAGAATCTTACCCCGACTTCTAGTTTCCATCTGATCAGCAAGGCGGGACAAAAGCTCCATCTGGTTCTGTAGACATTCAAGTGATGTCATTACAAATGTGCGGAAAACTGCAAAGTCAGATGCTAGCCTGCTTGATGGACTTGCCGCATCAGAGTTTCCCTTTTGTAGATCCTTTTGAAAGTCTCTCATGCGGTAGGTGAAAGTTTCCTTCATGTCATCCAACTGTTTCTTGAAAGCGTCCATAGTGAAGGTGACAAGTATTAACAAGAAAAAGTGTTTAAGTTATGTAAGGATTTGATTGATGGAAACTAAATACTGGCACTTAAGTTAATTAAATATGTATTTATACTATTTAAGCACTATTTTTAATTTTAAAAAGATTTTCTTGTGAGAGCAGAGAAAACGCGTGAGTCTTTCATGAACTACCCTCGGTATATAGCTTTACAAACGTTATTTAATCTTTTTATATATTTTGTGATAATAGTTTTGTAAAGGCCCTAATCCAACTGCTAATAAAAATTTACCCTTACCACCAAATATATCTTTAGTAACGAAAAGCACAATAGAAAAGCGCTGATTTGAGCGACTTGGAGGGAAGGGTAGGAGAAGGACGTAATGCATGTTTCATCATCACTATTGTGCGATACGGCCCGCCGTGTAGACGTCTCGGCGTTTTATTGGATTCAAAAGCATGCGATTTAAAATGGGAATATGCAATGAGCTATCGATTGATACGAGATGAGAGATCTTGAATTTTGTATCAGCGAGCCGGGTGTTATTAATGGTTGATGAGTATTCGCATCTATAACTATAGCCTAAGCTTTTGAATTATAGAATAATCTAGTTTCCATTATATCGACGATCGCAATATGCAGAAATAGCAACGCTGATAGTTCAAGACTATTAAATAAAGGTCTTCGTATTCTTCAAACGACTACGCGATCAGACTAAATATGCCAAACTTAAAGCTTTCCACGACGTACTATGTTCACAGTTTGCAAATATTCTGGTTCCGGCACCACAGACAAATTCTTGTAGTCCCCGAAATACATAAAACAATTCCAGTAACAAGTCAGATTACTGGCCCATTACAAGGAGTGAGCAAAGTTCGTTTGCAGGTGCATCAACTTGGAACGTACGAGCACAAGCAATGTTTGCTTAACATATCCTACCTACTAAAGTAGCTGGTAGATGTAGTGGAATATTTAACTAACTCAGTTTAATTAAGAGTCATCTTAACTTTGATAGCAGTATTTTCGCTCGCAAATTGTATCAGCGCACAAACTATCCACGGTGAAATAAACTCAATTTCGTAAGCTATTTTTCAATTAAAACGTTATCAAAGGATTGCTAATAGAATTTTGTAGGGGGTTCAGTCCATTAAGATTTTAATGGAGGACTTTTTAGTTCGGTACCTGAATAGCGTCGAAGTATTTGCAAATTTGTTTAGTCTCTTTTTAGAGTACAACCGAGCAATAAATGTGTTTTAAAATCGCTCTTTAATTTGCTACTATGACTTAGCTACTCTACGTGTATATTAACAATACTGCTGGACCGATAACGGCTAAAGCGTTTGTTTTGGAAAAAACGCATCCGAAGTTTGTCAAAACTAATTCATAAAATGTCGTTCGGTTTGTACTGCACAAACAGCGAGTCTATGAATAATAAATTTCATGAATATTTTAGAACAATCGCGAATGATGTTCGATTTGAGCTGTATGTAGGTCGACGGAAATAGTTCATTTGTTTGATCTAATTATCTCGGAGAATCTCGGATAATTGAATTAGCTAATCAACTGTGCCAGGGACGCGACTCGGATACAAGCTCCACTACAAACTTAACAACCTTTCGAATGACAAAAGTTTGCTAACATTGTTAAACCGATTCAGCTACTCAAAAATGATAGCGAAAATATCGTGTAAAATCTTTCGCTCATTTTGTTGCCTCGATCGAAAAACGAAACTCTATCCTCTAGAATATAAATACGATTTTCCAATGCACTATTATTTTGTTCAGTAAGATGGAGCGCCATCGGTTGTGCTCTTTCTTTTTCGGTTCTACTGTATACGAAGAGATTCGATACCATCTTTCAATCTGACCTTGTGGTTTTATCGGCTGCCAGGAAAGTTATGTGCGGTCAGTTTTCCGACAAACTTTCAAGTGAGAAGAAATCACTTTATATAACTACTTTCTAGATTAGGTAAGGAAGAGGTCCTCCCGCGTATATTATAAACTAAGCTCATTGTCCCACCTGAAGGAGTTCGCTAAGCCTCTCAGGATCGCACGGCGTACGAGTGTGAATTCTATTAAAACTTATCTAATATAACGCATAACTAGCTTTCAGATCACTCCGTATAACTTTAACTCCACCGTACTATTGAGTTGCATTCAAAGCGACATTGTGCTACAGAATTACCGATTATGATCTGTCGATCCGCTGCAGAAATGTATCGAAGGAGTTTTATTAGTTTAGGTTTTACTATACTATAACTAACTTTGAAGGTGATATTATCTGATGACTGCGTTTCCGTGAAGAATTGATTTTAGGACGCATCTTTTCCTGGTAAATTTGTAATATTATCAGAAAACGAAATTATCATAAATTAGCTACAGAAACTTTAAAAATAGCGTTCATATTGACATGAAGTAATTTTCTCTCGTTTCTGGTTATTAAATATGTATTTATTATTTATGTGTCACATTGCATAAGTCTTCGTAGATCAATTGACTTTCAACTGTTAAAATATTGTTTAAAGTAGAAATTCATGCTAATTTATTGGTTCTATCTGCTAAGTCTGCGTAGCTATACTTTAGATAGCTTAAATTTACCTAAAAGTGGTTAGAGCGTTTAACAAACATATTGATTTGTCGATATACATTGCTGAGTCATACATTTAAATACTATGTATAATGGCCAAGTGTTAGGTACATTAAAACTGACAAGTAACAATGTCCTTGGAGGTCAACATTCCGCTTCTATAGAAATATTGAATACAATAACATTGCGGTTGAAACGGTTTTTTTTTGTGATTTAGTCATTCTATTGTGTTGGAAACCTGCTGACGATCGATTCTAGTTTATAGAATTCTTTTAATAAATAATGATGTCTAATACTTAAGATTTGTTAAATGATGAAATGTATCATTTATAAAAATCAATTACAGACAACCTAAAAACGAATTGGCCGTAAAACGCATAATACTGTAGACATTATAACCAGACTCGGTCGTATATTACGTAAAAAATGTCATTCACGTTAACCCGAACAAAATTGAATTAAAAACAAATATAATTTATTCGAAGGCTCTGTCGGCGTCTATAATAAATAAATTAAGGAGCGCCGCCATTTTTTGCCGTCAAATTGTTGAACGTCAAAATTTTCATAAAGGGACTATCTTGATGGAAGTTGTCGAAAAAACAAAGATTAGTTATGATATCTAAAACGGATTGTTGCCCATTGCCAGCGAAGCGATTAAACACCGATTTATTTTAATAGCATTCGTAAAATCAAGTTAGTACGTGTCTGTGTAGCCTAAATGTTGTATGCTTTTAAGTTTTGGAAATTTTAATTTTGCTAATACATAAAATACGAAGAAATATTGCATGAATATTTCCATTACAAACTAGAGCTAGCAAACACAAACTGTGTTCGTGGCCGACAACCCTAACACAAAAGACCAGGGTCCTTTGTTACCAAGTCAAGGACAGGCATTCCGGCTCCCCACAGAAACTTGAAGGAATTAATTAGTGAAATTATTTCGGCATACAATGCGTGCTTCGTTCTGCAGATATTCTGTTTATGAGAGGTATACAAAACGTGAAGATTACATCTGCGAATCGATCGCTTACTTTTAAAGTGAACTTCGCCATCGAGTATAGCTATGAACAGACAAGGAGTGACGTTATTGGAAAGACATAATTGGGTAGGTCTACAACATAAAGAATTGACTTGAAATCACTTGATAAATTCATAAATAATAACTTCTAAAACTAAAAAGAATGAAAGAACTCTTTAGAGGGACGGTTGTGGGACTAAAGTCAACAATATCGAATGCGTTTTCTCTAGACAATTCCACATACGAACAGGTATTAGCCGCAACGTCAAGCTATCCTGGTGGCAGAACAATATCCTGCATCCTGTCTGCGTAGCGAGCTATGTACACGTGGAGTGTACGTAGGTAGTAAAATTGAACCTCACGGGATGTGGAATCAAAATCCGGCTACATAATTAGATAATAGTATCGGATGACTAAGGGCTTTACTATCTGAGCGATTTAGAACAAATATTACCTGTCTTGAGCTAGCCAATCTTATTTTGGGCCTAAACAGGATAAAAAGGAGTTCGCATTTGAAAACAATTTAAATAATTGTTCAATAACAATCTTCAAACAAAAACGCATGGAAAACACTCGCTAACATGATGCAGATGCGTGAATAATCTTAGATTGTTTCCTTACATTATTATATATTTTACATAAATTGTTTTGACAGGTAATATTTGTTCTAAATCGGTCAGCTAGGAAATTCCTTATTCATCCGATACTATTATCTAATTATGTAGCCGGATTTTGATTTGATTTGAGTGTTTATTTTAAGAGCTCTTTTCCTTTGGATATCCATTTATTGAGCGAAATCTGGAAGCAAAGTGATGGGGTAAATGCAATTTTGCTGGGTAAGAAGCCTGACTAATAAATTGGGCGCTGTACAATAAGCTCTGACATTAATTGCAATGGGGAATCCCCCATAAGATGAAGTAATCTTCGTCGCGACGTAATTCAGCCTGTCTCCAGTCCGCGCCTAAAGTTGTCTGCGAGTGAAATCAAATCCGGAGTAATTAGGAACCTGGGTTAGGTCCCTCAGTCGAATCGATATACACAGTACAACGTATTTAATATTACAGTAAACATTGTTTTACCTTCTAATGGTCTAATAGTAAATAACAATGTTTTAGATAAATATAAGTTTGAAGTTTGATATAACGAAAGATCTAAGTTAATCCCTGTTCCATTCTTGTAAACTGTAAAAAAGACTTAATTTTTTATATTCAGCGGAAGTGGGTAAACTTTAACAAAATAAATATAAGTCTGTGAGGTCCCCAGGCATATATAACGTATAATACTACATTTCAGTTCGGTTAGAAGATTCAAAATTTGTATAAAAATAACCCTTTAAAAAAGTTGCACTGTGTATAACAAGCCTAGCAGTAAACCACAGGTCAAGCCAGTAATTGGGCACGTAGCGG